CCCCAAAACCCCAAAACCCCAAAACCCCAAAACCCCTATCAAAATTCCACTTATTGAATCATATCTATCACTTTTACTTCATGAAGGCATTCTTGATGATATTTCTCATGGTTCTGCTCTCTTTTGGCTTGATTGGACCCTAAGAATTATGCATGGAATATACCTTGAAGTTTCTTGACTTCTTCCCATGAGTATGCTCTACCTTCCATCCGTTGAAATTAGTGATTATACTGGCCTCAGGAAGATTTATAACACTCTGGGTCGTATCTCTTTGTGTCTCAGAAGGCTCCTCATGTTTTAGAAACAGAGATTTCTCCAGTCCTTTACCCTCTTCGAGAGTGATGTCACGATGGCTCAATCTTGGTAAGAGATTCTTATCGGAAATTGATCTTTGTGCAACACTATATCTCGCAGTTTTAATTTTTGATGCCTCAGTCAAGTCTTTGCATGATTTATTATAGCTCAAGATTGAGCCTTTTGATGATTTCTGCTCGAAATGTAAGTCTAGAGATCATGAATAAGCTTACTATTTGGGAGATTAGTGGGCATCACATTAATTGTCTGGACCCTTTGACTCTTCATATTTTTCCTAAAGATTAAATCTAGAAGTTACTTAATTGAAAAAGATGATGGTCTTTTAGCTTTCATAAGTGTTAACTCATCCTTTGTCTTCATAATTTTATCTTCCTTCTCCTGATTCTCTTTCTTTAGTTCTTCAATATTTTCTTTGTATTCTTTATGTTTAAGAGATAATGCTTACTCTCACTTAAGGTAGTGAGCAATTCAACCTTTTCTTTATAGCTTTCCATCTAAAAGTTATGCTAATTATCTACTTTAATAAGTTTTTCTTTATTGACTGTATTTTGAGTTTGCTCAATAGCAAGTTTTGATTTTACCTATTCAGATTAGATAAAGCTCATACATCCAGGTTCTCAGCCTTCAATACATCTGCTCTCTCTTCAGCGTGCTTAAGCTTAGACTCTGCTTGCTTCATAGTGCATTTAAATTGGAATAACTCATTCTCGGCTTCTAATAATCCCTCTTCTGATTTCATTACCTTGACTTCATAGTTGATAACTTTCATTGTAAGATCTTCTACTTCCATTTGCTATGGCTTAGAATATGATCCTACCTTAATGCTTTCTATTCGTTTCATTTTCTTAACCATTTCTTTGTTAAGATCTCTAAGTTTCTTGATATACTCAGCATTATGGTTCTCTAGGTTATCATAAGTCATCTTTAAAGAGTCAACTTCATTGTTTTTCCTGTCGATCTTAGTAAGCAGGTCAATTTTCTCATCATTTAAGCGTTCGCATTTATTTTCCCAGTCCTTTAGCTCGTTTTTATACTTTTCATTGTCACTTCTGAGGTCTTTGTTTCTGAGGACTTGGCCTTTGTAGCTGCCCTAAAATATGAAATATCTTTTTTACCAGAGCCTTCTTAAGCTCGACTTCATTTTCGAGGTGTTCTTGGTGACTATTCTGATAGGTATACATCCACTCTAATTTCTGTTTTTGCTCTTCTTTGCATTTTTTATACCTGAATATGAGATAAAGTTCCTTACATTCCAAGATATTTTGATTCCAAAGAAGCGATCTGTATTTCTGACATCTCTGCATTTGCAGTTTCTCGCCTTGAAATAGTCTGGAACTCAGCCTCGAGGTCATTAAGTCTCTGCTGGAGCCTGTTTGAAAGATTGCATTCATTCTAAACATTAGCTTCAAGAGTATTACATAAAGATTTTTCTGAAGACTCTCCAGCTCACTTGTGACATCCTTGACGTGCTTGTTCTTGATCATAACTTGGTCTTCGAGTTTGTTCCTTTGGCGGTTGATTTCTACAGATATTTACCTAAAAATTACCTTCTAAAGTTTTGATAGTATCTTCATAATCTTTCTTAGTCAATTCACTAGAGCTTAAGCGAGGATAGTACTATTTGTCGATGGAGTTCTTAAGCTTGACTTCTAAGCCACTACTCTTTCTATACTGTCAGAAGGTTAAGGTACTCTCGAAGTAAGTCAAGAGTCTTCTCTAGCTCGTGGTTTTTAGTATGAAAATCCTGGTTGTCTTGTCTCAAGAATTTCTCAACCTGAACTAATGCGATGTATTTTGAGTCAACTTCAGTGTATTTCTGATTTACTTCCTCAAATTTCTCAGTGAGGACTTGAACTCTTTCTTCAAGGTTTAGATTAACTCTTTTGATCTTTTCAAGCTTGGATTCTAGGTGTAAGGCAAGAAAATACCTAATTCGTGGGTCTCGGTTTTTCCGTCGACCACTCTTGACTGGACAACACTCATCTACGGAGTATTACAATATAAATGTACCTTGATATTCTGAGTGCTGATCTCCTTTTCAAGATCATGCATGGTCTTGGTCAGCTCAGATACTTCTTTAAGCAGTTCTCTCACTCTTTTGTCTCTTTGCTATGGGAGTCAGAAATGCTGCTTACAGTAATAACAGCACTTTTGCTTAGAATATTCTCTTTCAATCCTGCACATTCAGTGATCTTTTCTTGAAGAAGTTGATCATTTTTGAATTTTTCATTTCTCAAGATTGATATTGTTTCATCTTTGATTTCCATTGATTCCTTCAGTTCTTGTACTTCATCAAGCATTTTATGGAGGTCATCTTTGGCAATCTTAAGATCAGTCTATGGAAGATTAGTTGGATATTAAAGCAATATCATACATCTTTCCCGTTGAGCAGTCTTTCAATGTTACAAAATTTATCTTCGAAATGATTTCTTAGCTCCTTTTCCCTCTCAACAGCGGCTTGAAGCTTGATGTTCTCATCAACAAGGTTTTCTGCCCTTTCATTACTAGCTTCGAGTTCTATATGTGTTAGGGAGGATTAGTACTCTCTTGAGTTTCCTTAAGCTCTTCAGTTAGCTTATGAATATTTATCATCATCTCTTCTTTTCTCTTTGTATAATGCTCTTTTTGCTTTCTCATTTGCTCCTCAAGGTTGATGACATCCATTTGATAAGCATTGGTAAGGTTAGAAACAACTGTAGCATATTCAGCTTTTCCGACATGTTGGAGTAGGACAGAGTAAATCTTCCATATAGTGGATAGTAAAAGCTTTCTGTTGTTACCTCTTTCCAGTGGTTCTTTAATGAGCTCATAAAAACCAAGACTATAGACATATAGAGCTCTGTATATCCTAGTTATACTATCATCATCGATCCCATTATTCCTCAGAGTGTCTCTATCAATTCCAAATTTCTTGAGAACGTCTATTTTCTTCGTAGCTTTATTAACTTCATCAGCTGATAAAGTCTTATAAGAGACATTACTAGAGGATTCTTTAAGGAGACCCTTCTTCATAGCTCCTTTAATAGCTAGTGAAAGCCATTCTTCGATCTTATTTAGGGTTAACCACCAACTGGCCATCCTCTAGTTTCTGCATTTCTTCATCTTCATCTGTATCAAGAAGTTTAGAGTTAATTTTTTCATACCCTTTTTCTAATGGAATAGTCACATTAAACGAATCCTTGGACATCTGAGAGTCCATGAGATTAGTTTTCTGCATATCAGGGAATAAGGTCGATGAAATATTATTCTTCATCAAGCTCGCCCCTTCATGCATCGCATTTGTAGTAAGGGTGCTATCCATCTTCATTTTAGCAGTCACCGCTGTACTATCCAAGAAGGTCATCTTCTCCTTCGAAATCTTTGTGGGTTTCTTCTGGATCTTAGTCCCAAGGAAATCTGAGATATTATTAACCTCTACTCGTTGCTGGTTCATTTTATTTTTACGTTGATTTTGACTCAAAAATTTATATAATCTACGGGGTTTTGGGGTTTTGGGGTTTTGGGG